GTATTTCAAATAACACTAATTGTCATACGGTTTTTAGGTTTCCATTGAAGACTTTATGGGTACAATCGCAGTTGAACCATTGCTGCTGCAAGCCTTTGGCCAGTGCTTGCCCTCAGAAACTGCCACAGTTTCTTTCTTTTCTACATTACAAATTTAAAATGACTTAAAAAAAATATCTTTATATTTTAATTAGGAAAAAGTCAAAAGAAAGCACTCAATCATATGGAAAAATATTTGTTAAGTTCAGAACATTCGTCTGCTACAAAGTTTTAGCAAAAAAAAAACCAAAAAAAATTTAAAAAAGCGCTGATATAAATTTTAATTGTTTAAGAAAAAGGAGAGCTTCCCCAAAAACTTTGTGTGATATGCATGATTTGCAAATATTTTAAATTTAGTTACTTCAGTGCAAACAAAACTATTATTGTTTATATCGTTATATTCATTCGATATCGTTATTATTATTATATTGCGAGCTTTTTACTTAACACGGCTGCGCACAAGAAATCCGATTTTGAGGCAATTGAAAATCTACATATTGATACGTTCGAATAAATGGATAATAGAAATTCGATTTTTAAATTGGTAAACCATAATCAAAAATAGCTATTAGTTATTTGTATGGACTTGAGAGGTCCCACTTTGCATGACTTTGCCGCAAATTTAGAAATTTAGTTCCGCCTGAATTTGAATGATGGGCTGGGCTATGTCGGGCATCGCATGATAACGGCTTCTTGGCATAGAACTACGAACTTGGTGGCGTATTCACCACACTTATGCGAGAAATAGGCATAGCCTCAAATCGTTCTTGCAGAATATCCATCGTTGCGTCCGCGGTGCGGCATGAAGCGCCGTCCTGCTAACATTTTATTTGGGCCAAGAGAAATAAGTTATCACTGTTCTGCACTGCCCGTCGTAGATTAACTGGCTGCCTTGCCTTCTCCTTTGCACTCTCATTCACCGTGGCGTTTCTGGTAGTGAAAAATTTTGAAATATCGGAGACAGGGATGGAATATTTAAATGTGGCATGGCACGCCATCCTGTTGAAAGGTGGTCCAAGGCCATGCCTAAAATTTCCATCCATAAAAAATCATGCATTTTTAGCGCTCACCGTTGAACGAAATGGCGTTTCCGGCAGCATTTTCAAATAAAAATGGCAAAAGATGCCACCGCATTGGCTTCTCGACGATTACGTGCGGGTTATCTCATCTCCAGTTTTGGTTGTCAACAAAGCCGCTGACATGAAAATGCGCTTCGTCAGTGATCGCACTTCCGTAGATTTCACGAAAAATCAGACTGCTGTGGATTGCGTAATAGCTTAGAAGACACACATCGTAGTATGGCTATCAATACTGCGATCTACACCATACGTGTGTCACCCTCATACTACGAGTCATTGTAGTTGCTACGTAGCAACGAAAAAGTACCACTAATATTAATATTGTAATTTTTAAACTATATATGTGTCGCAGGCCTAACATAAATATCTAAATGAATAAGTACTATAAAAATCCATGACTAGATTTTTATTTTGACGATAGCAGTTGATGGTTGATTGCTTTGTCACAAATATTTAAGTTCAAATCAAATCAATACGAAGCATAATAAAAATTATCAGCCTTATCTTATTTTGCCTAGCAGAACTTTGAATAAGGTATTAACAATAATAAACTAACTATCAGCGACCCCATAAGCCTTCTATAAATATACGAATAAGCGGTCTATATACTTATGATTCATATCGCATTGCATAAGAAAATCTAGAAAATGTTAAGAAAAATTTAAAAAATGAATTTTAGGCTGGTCCAAAAAATGAAGGGGTACTACAAAATTGCATACTCAAATCTTATTTGAAATATTTATAAAGTTATTGAAAGCAAACAAAAATATTTAAAAATCTTTGCATTGCAAATAGTCAGTATAGGTATATAAGCTTTATTGGGCTAATGTATGTATGTATAATATAATTTTTAAAATAACGGTTGATTTTGAAATAGAGCATAATTTTTTTCTTTTGTGATAAGAAAAGAAACAAAATGTTGAAAACATTAATTAACCATTTCCTTAAGTAGGGCTAAGAAGTTCCTGTTGAACGCTCATATCGTTGTATTAATATAGAAAAACCTTATATCATTTTACGGATTGTTAGCTAACTGATAGCTTTTGGATAAATCCAGATATTTCAGTGTTGGTGAGGCTGGCAGTGTTTTGTTTTTTTTTTTAAGAAAATTAATTGAAAAGCGTTATTTGGCAAAATATACGAATCGATCTCGGGAGATCGCTTTATTTTTTGACGATTTCTTCCTGGATCGATTACACAGTGCTACGAAAACGCATAAAGTATAAATACCTGGGAAGTTATGTATATTTCCTGGTAGGTCTTTTCGAGTAAAACCAGAATCGAAATATTAAATTTGCCAAACGCCTCCATAATCTTGATTTACCGTTAAAAACCGGTGTTTCGTACTTTTGCGCACTTATAAGCCTGTAACTTATTTCATTATGAACCGAGCTTGGACCTTTCGAACGATATACATATATGTGAATAAAAAAAAAATCTTAAGAGATCTGTGTGTATTTACCCAGCAAACACATTTTTTTTTTACTTTTTCACCTTTTTTCAACATATGTGAGGTCTTTACGCACTTTTTTATAAAAACGATTCTAGTCCTAAATTAATTGTAAAACTACTTATACTCAAAAATGTTTTCTTTACTATTATTCTTGATTATTATAAGTTCTTTTCCGAATTTTATTATTAGTATTTGAAAAAGTCCAGAAGGAAGCCGCGAAGTCAAATCTAAATTTCTGAGGCTTTAGCATAAAATTAAATGATAAATCTAACCGCAAAAAGTCTATCCTAGTCACAATGGTAGGCGAAATCTTGGCTGCAGGGCATTCCTCGTCGTACCACTTGTTCTTTCCGGATCGCTGAAATTCGACTACTTCTTCGGCGGCGGTCCGTAATAAGCGAGTGAAGTTTAAAGAAAAACATGTAGCTTCATCGTTATTGTTATGTTGGAATCCAGTGCTACACTCTACCGTGTTCCGGGCCCCGGCCCAAATGTTGATCCAACTTGCCCACCCATTGTATATTGAAGAAAGCGCTCCTTGTTTGCCTCTGCTTCTACGAGTTCAATTTTCAGCTGCCTAACACATTCTACTCTCCTAGTAAGATGTAAATAAATGACGAAGCAATTTTCAAATGTTAGCAGAGATAACTTAAAATATATTAACACGCTGCTAAACAATTAATTAGGGAAAACAAGTATGAAAACACTGAGCAGTAGCTTCTGTTGCTGACCATCGGACAATATGGGTCAAATGTTCATAATTATAAAAAATCACAATGCAAACTAATTGTATGTGGCAAAAAGTTCATCAGTGTCATCACAACTGGACTATTTACGTGCGCGGCGTACGCTCACGTTGTAAGCTGCCAAGGCGACATTGCCGCATGCGTCATGCCAGGTAATAATCAGTAGACATCTAAGCTGTGCCCAAGGCGAACTAATATAAGGTGATAGCAGGAGTACAAAAACAAAAATTTACTTGTATTTTGTTTTTGCTTTGGCGGCATAAACTGTCAAAATCTGTAAGAGTGTGTGTAGAAATTCAAACAAAATTTTTCAATTTGATATCAGAAGCCGTGCGGCGAAACACATACACAAAATCAGCTGAGCTAGTAACACCACCTTATATTAATTCGCCTTGGCTGTGCCGCAACAACAGCAAAGGCATTGACATTTAACTATATACATAATAGATCTATATTTTTAAGTAATGCGCAGAGGTGTATATTTCCATACTCGGATTGTCAGACGCGCTCATACAGAACAGATCCACAGTTCGCAGATCAACACGTCAGGGTGTACATACATACATACATATCTACGCGACAACAAGCAGCCGGCAAACACTGCTCAACCATTTGTTTTTATTTCGTTTTTTTTATTGCCTTTATTAAACACAGCACTTTCGATATTGTCACCGAAGAAATTTTAATGGAACGCATATTTTGTTGTTGGGATCGCGCTCACGAAGGTTTGCCATTGCGCTTGGATGGTTGGTTGACAGGCTTGTCGATTTTTCTGCGTGGTTCGCTAGCTGAGCGCGCTAACTTTTGCTTTCGTGTCTATGACTTGAACGGTGATGGCTTTATAACGAAAGATGAAATGTTTACGCTGCTGCGTAATTGTCTCATCAAACAGCCACAGGATGAGGATCCGGATGAAGGTGTTAAAGATTTGGTGGAGATCGTCTTGAAGAAATTCGATTTGGATAAGGATGGCAAGGTAGGAAAGAAGTGTTTTGATATCTTAAGTCGTTTAGTCGTTTCTTTGTTGTTTAATTTGAATTTACATATGTATGTATTTCAAATAACACTAATTGTCATACGGTTTTTAGGTTTCCATTGAAGACTTTATGGGTACAATCGCAGTTGAACCATTGCTGCTGCAAGCCTTTGGCCAGTGCTTGCCCTCAGAAACTGCCACAGTTTCTTTCTTTTCTACATTACAAATTTAAAATGACTTAAAAAAAATATCTTTATATTTTAATTAGGAAAAAGTCAAAAGAAAGCACTCAATCATATGGAAAAATATTTGTTAAGTTCAGAACATTCGTCTGCTACAAAGTTTTAGCAAAAAAAAAACCAAAAAAAATTTAAAAAAGCGCTGATATAAATTTTAATTGTTTAAGAAAAAGGAGAGCTTCCCCAAAAACTTTGTGTGATATGCATGATTTGCAAATATTTTAAATTTAGTTACTTCAGTGCAAACAAAACTATTATTGTTTATATCGTTATATTCATTCGATATCGTTATTATTATTATATTGCGAGCTTTTTACTTAACACGGCTGCGCACAAGAAATCCGATTTTGAGGCAATTGAAAATCTACATATTGATACGTTCGAATAAATGGATAATAGAAATTCGATTTTTAAATTGGTAAACCATAATCAAAAATAGCTATTAGTTATTTGTATGGACTTGAGAGGTCCAACTTTGCGTGACTTTGCCGCATATTTAGGAATTTAGTTCCGCCTGAATTTGAATGATGGGCTGGGCTATGTCGGGCATCGCATGATAACGGCTTCTTGGCATAGAACTACGAACTTGGTGGCGTATTCACCACACTTATGCGAGAAATAGGCATAGCCTCATATCGTTCTTGTAGAATATCCATCGTTGCGTCCGCGGTGCGGCATGAAGCGCCGTCCTGCTAACATTTTATTTGGGCCAAGAGAAATAAGTTATCACTGTTCTGTACTGCCCGTCGTAGATTAACTGACTGCCTTGCCTTCTCCTTTGCACTCTTTCGTGAACAGCGCCGATGTTCTAAAATTACCTTTGACTACCGGTGTTGGTTGATAGTTTACGAAGCCGGGTTCTCGAATTTGGCCATTAAACGTTAAAGAGCCGACTATAGAGAGCCATGGACGTGATGATCATCCTTGTTTTTGTAGCAGATGCGTTTAACCCCCAAGGGATTGTGTCAAGTAGTGTCCATTTTATCCTCAGACTCGGCTTATAATTCGGCAGCAAAAAGTTGTTGGGATGGTG